TTTATTCTGCAGTTCTTGATTTTACTTCTTTGCATTTCCTTCACAATGCTATGTATTTTGTAACTACTTTCATTGCTAGTGCAACTCTTTATAAAAACACCATTAGGCCGTCCTCGTTAGTATAGTGGTGAGTATCCCCGCCTGTCACGAGAGAGACCGGGTTTCGATTCCCTGATGGGGAGGCGAATTTTTATATGACAAAACATAATAATTTATGAATTATGAAGGGTTCATGAGGGAGGAGGAGTTGGGAGGGGGAAAATGAGCAACCAATATTAAGGGCTCAAGTAGAAGGCAAATGTTTTGAGAATGATGATGGCAACAAATGTACATATGTGCTTGACACAATGTATGTATGTATGTATGTATGCATGCATGCATGCATGGTGATAGGAATTGTACGAGCCCCCAATAAAATGATTTACACACACAAAAAAACACCATCAGATGTTCTCATCATCCAATAAATTCGCTAATATGCTTAAAGTAAGGAGCACTGGTTTGTTTTATCCAAACTAACCTTAACTAATGTAAGAGGTTAAATAAACAATTGGCGACCAATATAAACATACTTCAGCCTGTGCTATGATTCAATGTATCTAGCCATTTCCCTTAATTGTTCATTAAAAAACACTCAGTGTCAACAAAGTATTAAGCATTATGTAAGTGCTGGAAAAAGAGCCAAAAAGAGAAATAAAGGCACTCCCTGGGCACAAATGAAATCTGTTTCTATCTCTTTAGGAATTTGTAACTAAGTTGGAATAAGTGCATATAGTCCCCATTTAACCTTACATTAGTACAAGAAAAGGCTCAAAGACTTTGTGGGGGGAAAAATGAAGCTTTCTCATTCTGAAGAATGAGTCTCAGAAATCCACAGGAGCAGTACTACTCAGGCCTACAGAATTGGTCTACATCAAAATTAACTCGATGGCAGTAAGTTTTTAGTATACATAGCCCAGGAAATTATATCTAGCTAATAAAAAGGATAATAAATCTCCAAACTCATGCATTACTTATAGTTATTGCTTTAAAAACTTAAACTTAAAAATCAGGCTAGTAATTAAGTTACACATCTATCCTAAGAAGATATAAAAAGAAAAACTGAAGAAATGAAAAGTATATTCCACTCCCATTAATAGACTAGATTGTTCACCCAATCTTCTGCTGGAAATAAAAGTGATGGAAAATGTTTATTTCAGATAAACACAACTATTGATCTCTCCCCATCCAGAGCAAATCAATGATGCAAAGAAATAATTAGTCCAAAGAACTAAGAGACCACATGAACCTCAGCCTTCACTATTCTAAGAGCAGAACTAGATGGTGCCCTGCTAACCATTATCAACCACTTTAATTGGGATCACAACAGAAGGCTCTAGATATAGTTGGGGAAAATGAGAAATAAACCTCACAATCATAACAACACCTGATTTATTGGTCTGACAGAGACTGATTGAATCTTTGAGTCAATGGCCCATAGACAACCTTCAAGCTTGGAAGTGAACTTACCCATGGCTCAACTTTCAGTCTTATAAGGTGAACAACATCATCAGGGAGAAACATAGTCCTTACAACAGTGGTTCTAAACCTTTCTAATGCCGAGACCCTTTAATAAAGTTCCTCATGTTGCGGTGACCCCCCAACCATAAAATTATTTTCATTGCTACTTTGTAACTATAATTTTGCTACTATTATGAATCAGATGACCCCTGTGAAAGGGTGGTTCGACCCCCAGGTTGAGAACCTCTGCCTCAGAAGAACCAACCATGTAAGACCAATATGGCAGCATTTCTCAAAAAATGAAGTTCAGAAGACAGGAAAGAGGGATAAATGGATACAGGAACACAGGAAGAAGTGGGAAGAGTTCTGTTACACTGTGGGGATTGCAATCAGTGTCAGGAAACAAAAAGTATGTAAGCTGTTCTACAGAAAACCAATATACTCTCAACTAAATCACAATAAAATAAATACAATAAAGCATACATTGTGAATGAAAAAAATCAAGAACGCATTGAAGAACCAAATAGAAAGTAAAGAAATTGCCAGACCAAAATCTATGAGAACCAAAAGATTAAGTGCTATAATGAAACTGCCTTTGCTTGGAGACTCATGCCTAACTCTCAAACTTGAGCTTCAGCACATCCCTCGTTTTTTTATCTTCACCTCTTCTATGGCAAAAAAAATCACTCTAATTTCACGTCCCTCTTCATTCCTGGAAACAAAAAGAAGTCACACAGAGTGAGGTCAGGTGAGTAAGGTGCAAGAGAAGCGTTCTGTTTTCTGCCAAAAACTGGTACACTGAGATGGCTTCATAAGCAGGTGTAGTGTCATGGTGGCAAAACCAGTCCCCCGTCTGTCACAAATCAGGCCTTTTTTGTCACACATTGTTATGCAATCTTTTCAGAACCTCTAAATAGAAAGCTTGGTTAACAGTCTGACCTGGTGAAATGAACTCCAAATGCACTATGAGTCAACATTTTTGTCCATTCGGGAAGTTGATGGACATCTAGAACATGTTTTGTCATCAATTGGCATTTCACTTTTTTTGAAATGAAAAAAACCACTCGAACACTTAAGTTTTTCCCATAACGCTGTCCTTGTAATCTATGTTCGACATCCCAACAGTTTCTGTGGCATTTTTTGCAAGCAGAAACATAATTTCACAGACACACACTGTTCTCTTAAATTGGCCATCATAAAAAACTAGGTTTGAGCCAAAAAAAAATTCACTGGATCAGAGTCCAGAGACGCCACTTGGTGCACTAACTCAGAGTGAGTTGCTCGATGCTTATGCTTGCCTAGTGGGGAAAATGCGTACTATTAAAGTTCTGCCAGTAGAGCTTCTTTCCGTTTTTTTGTTTGTTTTGGTTTTTTTTGGTACCTCTGCATATTATCCACAATAAACAATAATGAAGGAAACCAAAGTCTGGGGGAGAAATCAGTCTAAAGAACAGTTTATTAAAAATCATGCCCCTATATACCCCTATATTAAAGAAATTAGATGTGCCCAGCTACCCTTACAAACTATTCTCATTAGGGCACTTGGATCTTGACAAGCAAAACCAAGCTCACTGCCATCAAGTCTATTCTGACTCACAGTGACCCCTAGGGTTGAGCAGAAGCAACTTTTTATGGGAGTAGGAAGCGTCATGGATCTTCAGACAATTGAAAAATATGAAACAGAACTTAACACATTTAAAATATCTAGACTTAACTGAATTAGTTGAGATAAATGAATTCCCAAGATATCACCCTAGTACTCCATAAACCTTAAGCCAAAAACTAATTCCCCGAGGGCACCTTTTAGCTAAATAATAGATTAGCTTATAAAATAAAGAATATTACCAATGAGTATTGTGCTCCTTTAAAAATCAACTCAATAATTACTCTACAGCAAAGATAAAAAGCTAAGGGAACAAGGAGATCAGATTATTGGTAGCAAAACCAACAGGCAATTAATGAGACTTAATTCATTGGAAAGAATGTAGAATGTCTGAACAATTTGTGTAATAATAGTTAAACAAGGACCTAATTTACTATGTAAACTTTCACTGAAAACACAGTAAAATACTATTTTTAGAAAACTAAACTCATCCCCTCCCCATTCCTTTTCTCCAAAGGACTACAAGGAAATATGCCTTCCTATGACAGAACAGAGAATAGAATCTTAAGCCGTTGTAACCACAGCAGTCTACATACCTATTTGCAATCCAAATTCATACCATTTGGGTGGTGCAAAACACTGTTTTAATGGAATTAAAGCGTCCCTAAATTGTAATGCCCTGAGGCACTTGGGGGAAAGCACATGCATTTCTATCTTAGGGCTCAGATAATACAAACATTTTTTCCTAGGGAAAATAAACAGTTCACAGTCAAAATGTCTCAAAGAATAAATGGAAAGAAAACACACAACCCCTCCCACACCTTAGCTTAGCATAAGAAATGCCAGAAAACCTAAAACAAAGAATTCAAAAGTAACCAGAGGTGAAAAAGGCATATTCACTTATAATAATTAACTATTATACAGCAACACGGATTTTATTAACAATGGATTTATTAACAGCAACAATGGAAATCAGAATTGAGAGTGGATTATTTCTTTGAAGGGATTACAAAAATTTATTGCCACTGAAATGAAATGACTTTCAAAAATGAAGGTGTGGTATCTACTGCCTAGAACAACCAAGCCAAGGAGATCAAAGGACAGCATGTGCCCAGGGATAAAGAGAGGCTGGAAGGGCAAATGGAGATAGTAAATACAAGACGGAAGTGGGAAGAGTGCTGTTATACATTGTGAGGGTTGCAATCAATGTCAAAAACAAAAACACCTCCTTGCCATCACAGTTCTGACGCATAGCAAGCCTATAGGAGAGAACTACCACTTTTAGCTTTGTAGGCTGAATATCAGGCGTGCAGAATGTCAGATCCAGAGGCCATTTATCATCATATACCATCAACACCAGCTAACATCACATGCCTCATCAAAGAGAAGTAGTTCCAGCCATCACATCAGGGTTAATTAAATGTTGTGACCATATAGCAGGCTAATTTTTAAGTCAATAATTTCATGTGGCTCAAAAATGGTGTTAAATATCCAAAGGGTTGTTGGTAGGGTAAATGATGCCCCATTCCTGCTGTAAATCTTTATGGGAGCAGAAGTCTCATCTTTCCCCAAAAAGCAACTGGTGGGTTGGAACTGCTGATCTTGAGGCTAGCAGTCCAATGCATAACCCCAACATCACAAGGGCTTCTGAAATCACTGTAGCAAATCAAAATGTGTATGAATTGTTGACTGAAAAGCCAATATGCTTTCACCAAATCACAATAAAAAATGAGAAAAAATGAGGGTGAAATAACAATTCACTTATGAGTAGAAAGAGAGCTTATCACACAAAGTCTCATGATTCTTTTTAAAAAAGAAAATCCCAGAAAGAAAGTGATCTAGATGGAAAAATTTGAGACCCATGGACGAATCAAAAGCAGAGAAAGTTGAAACTGACCTGAAAATTCAGAGGCTACCATTTCTTGCCATAGAGGCTCAAGGGCAGTGAAGCAAATTGACTGCAAAAAAGAATGAAAAAGTATGTAAGGGCCCAACAACAGCATTGTAAGCTCCTGCTTTTAAGTTGTTTTTTAAATAATATTTTATTGTATCTTTGGTGAAAGTTTACACAGCAAATTAGGTTCCCCTTTAACCTATTCAAGGCCTGTGGTTTAGACCCTCCAGCAGCTCCAAGGGAGAATGGTGCCATCTGTTCCCACACAGAAGTACTGTGTCAGAAACTCTATGAAGTGGAATCAACTTGATGGTAGTAGGTTTTAATATTTTTTATAGAAATTGTTTTGTCACTGGTTACAAATTCACAGTGTGTCAACATTCTTCATTATTTCTATTCCGTTTGTTCCGATTCCCTTGATTTAGCTTCCCTTCCCACTCCTTGCCTTCAAATCTTTGCTTTTGGGTAAATGTTGACCATTGTTTAAGCAAGCACATTACTCATGGTGTGATATTTTTTATTCTATGAGCTAATCTACCATTTGGTTGAAAGATAATCTGCAGAAATTGTTTTAATTCTACATTCAAAGATTATTGCAGGGCAATGGTCTCAAGGGATTTTCTAGTCTTTATCAGTCTAGTAAAGATCAGTCCCCTTTTCTCATTCCCCCAGCTTTTTTAGAAATTTCTAAACTTGCTCCACATTTTTCTTCCACTCTACTTGAGACCTATTGTGCCCCTCGTCAGAATGGTAGTTATATGAATAACAATGTAGTTATTAAGATTGGAGGAAGACTTATTAACAACCTTTGATATTCAGGTACAACCTTGCCTGTTGAAAGTGAGGAGGGACTCATGGCCCTGCGAGGGACAGCACCAGAGACATAAAGTAGGAATTGCGCCCGATTGGATCCCGCCACACCGAGGCAAATCACTGGGGGAGTGCAGCAGAACAGAAGGGAATGGAGCGGCAAGGTCCCCAGGGAATGCTGAAGGTGGACTTTGGGGCCAGGGCATAGTGCCCCAAGAGACTGGACTGGAAAACACTCCTAAAGGCCAACAAACGATCCTTGAACTAACTACAAGCTTTTCTTTCTTGCTGTGTTTTGATTTGTTCTTTGTCAGTGGTTTGTTGTTGCTGTTTTGTTGTATATTGTTGCTTGGTTTTGCTCTGTCTTTTTTGTGTGTGCATGTTAGTATATCCGCAGGTCTGTCTAAATAAGATAGGCTGAATGAGCAATCTGGAGGAGGAAACAACGGGACCGACAGTTCTGGGGGGACATGGGATAGGGAGAGGTGGGGGTAAGGGAAATGATGTTAACAAACCCAGAGACAAGGGAACAACAAGTGATCCAAATTGGTGGTGAGGTGGGTGTGGGAGGCCT